TTTAAAAAGTGATTTGAAAGGAAAGCCTTGGATGCCGAAATGTCTAATCCAGTGTTTCTCAACCTTGGCAACTTGAAGATGTCTGGACGGCAACTCTCAGAATGCCCCAGCCAGCATTTGCTGGCTGGGGAATTCTGGGAGTTGACGTCCGGACATCTTCAAGTTGTCAAGGTTGAGAAACACTGGTCTAATAACATCGGGGTGAGGGGAGAATAGTTTTGGGCAAATAATCTTCTCACATACTTTTCAACACCCTGATAGAAAATTTAAATAATTGGTTGTACAGATTTGAAACAAATTGATAGACCTCTCAGCAGATCTGAATAATACTTGGATCTTTTCAAACCTTTTATTTCCAGTTATGCCTCAGTTGCCAGAGGAGAGGAACCCCTTCCTCCAAGGGTCTTTTCTTAATAGGGTGCCTCTTCTATTAGCTTGAGAACTGCCAGCCCTACGAGGTAGTACAGATCAGCACAAAGTATGAGTTTGTGGGGGAGGTTTTGGCTCTGGGAGTTGAAATCCATCCATCTTAAAATTGCCAGGGTTGAGAAACAGTGCCGTAAAGTATTACTGAAGTAATTACAATTTTTATTTTATTTTTAAAGCAGCTAATTTCTGCTCATCTTTGAAATATAGTTTTGGTTTGACTGAGTGATTTCTTGACTTTTGACCACAGAGTATTTTAGAACTTCGTTTACGTTCCAAGATGATCCTTGCCGAAAATACCACGAAACCCTCTTGGTAAATCCGATTTTGTTCGTTCCTCCAACAAAGGTATTTTTTTGTTTTAAGATGTTTTCTTTTTGCTCTGTAGTGAAGCTGTCAAAGTATTCTAAAGTTACTGCCTCTTGTTTTAGGCCCTGGCTGTTACATTTACCAATTTTATAACAGAACCACTGAAGCACATAGGAAAAGGAATTGGTGAATTTATTAGAGCTCTCATGAAAGAAATCCCAGTTCTTCTACAGATTCCAGTGCTGGTCATAATGGCAGGAGCAACTTTAGTAAGTATCTGCTTGAAGGGGGTTCATCTGGACTCTTGGGCTGACGTCCCACAGTACCAGCTATAAGCTCCCAGAGACCATTCAGGGTGATTTGAATGCTAGGAAAAAAAACATCTTGCTAGCAAGATCAGTTCACTAGCGTGGCACGACAAAACCGCGCTCGACTAAGCCGCGCCCGATTAAACCGCGTCGCTGACATCAACAGAGCGACAACAGCGAGCGCCGAGAAAGAAGGGCTCTTTAAATAGCGCTTTGAAAGCAAGCTGATTCAATTTAAGGTAAGGGTTAGGGTTAGGTTTAGGTTAGGTTTAGGGTTAGGTTAAGGGTTAGGTTAAGGGTTAGGTTAAGGGTTAGGATTAGGTTTAGGGTTAGGTTTAGGTTTAGGATTGGGCTTAGGGGGGTTAGG